AAAAAAAGCACCTAATTTCAATACATAGTGATTAGTACATTTTTAGTAACTATTCTTCTACTTAAAATAATCACCTATTTCTGCTTTAGGTTTTGTCTGTAATAATTAGGACTTACCACCCATGGCCTTTTAGCTTCAAGCATCTCAATTAAATCTAAATGTCGTTTACGTTCGTAGAATCTTTCTACATCTTGTTTATATCTTTCATTTCTCTGAATCATTTTCTCTAGATATTCACTTTTCTCTTTGCATGAGATCTAAATAAATATTTATTAAACAATTAGTTTAACTGAAAAAAGACAAAAGTCTAATTATTTAACAGCGAAAAATACATGCTAGCAAAATGTCACAAAAAAAAGGAACTCTGGTAGTGCTGTAGTATCCGACATTGAACTGCTTACCAGCAGTTACCAGAAAAACTTATAGCTTTAGAGACTTTAAACAAGGTCACTCTATATACAAATTCTTACAAGCTGTACAGATGTAATAATACCCTTAGCTATCCAGTGATGCTACATATAGCAAAAATACCATAAGCAGATCGCTTTAACAAACAAATTTATTTTCTTGCAGTTTAAGAGGCTAGAAGTCTGAATTTAGAGCACCAGTTACAGGGGAAGGTTTTCTCTCTCAGATCCCGGTATCTCAGCATCTATCTTTCCCTATGTCAAAATACAGTCTACACTAATCCTGCTGCATTCATGTAACAAAGATAACCCATTCCGAAATGGGATCATAGCCACAAACACAGAAGTCAGCATTTACAACACATGTTCTGGAGGGGTACACAACTCAATCCGTAACATGGCCCCTTAAGGAGCTTAGAATCCAGTGGGGAAAGATGATGTTGATGATGAACATGAGGACAATGATGGGCGGCAATGATACCACCCTGACACCTTCCCTGACTTTAAACCATTCAGAATCCCCTTAAAGAGCCCAGGTGGCTTAGTGGGTTACACATTTGGCTGCTAACCACAAAGTCAGCAGTTCACCAGGCACTCTGCAGGAGATAGAAACTTTCTGCTCCTATAAAGATTTACAGCACACAGGCAGCCAGCATCCCCTTGTTCTATCCAAATGATTGCTAGCCCTATATAAAACCCTGCAATATAAGAAGAGCCCTTAGTTGTTATTGTTCAGTTCTTTGACTCACCTTGTTTCGGGCCATACAGAAGGCACATATAAGCCACTATTCCCTTATTTTCCCATAAGTTTTCATCTCTCTTTTGGTGGCTTCCTTGGGATCTAGCCTCTGTGCAGCCCACTATCAATGCCTCAAAAAACCTCATTGCGTTCTAGACAATCCAGCTCATATGGACCTGACTGGACAAAGCAGAACTGCTCCACTTCTACTTCTGTGCTTCTGAGGCTGTATATCAAGCCAAAGTAGACCGTCTCATCTTTTTCCCACAGATTCAAACTGTCGACCTGACTCAGTGCTTAACACATTGTGCCACCAGGGTTCTTGTCAATGCTTCATCCCCAATAAATAGCTTATTGTGCAATACTGCTCTAATCTTGTGGTCATATATTGTTCCTCAATTTGCCCCACGTGCTCTGGAACTCATTGTTGTTGTTAGGTGCCAGTTAGTCAATCCTGACTCACAGTGACATTTTGTACAATAGACTGAAACACTGCCTGGCCCTGCACCATCCTCACAATAGTTGCTATGTCTGAGCTAACTGCTGAAATCACTGTGCCTACCCAACAGTCATGGTCTCTCTCTTTTTCAATGAGCTTCTTTATCAAGCATGATGTCCTTCTCTAGGGATTGGTCTCGCCTGTTAACACGTCCTCAGTACAAGAGACATAGTCTTGCCTTCTTTGCTTCTGGTTGTATATATTTTAAGACAAATCTGTTTATGAGCCTGACAGCATATGGTATATTCAATATTCTTCACCAACACCATATTTTAGGTTATCAATTCATCTTTGGTCTTTCTTTTTCATTGTCCAGCTTTTAACATACACATGAGGCAATTTAGAATATCATGGCTTGGGTCAGGCTCACCTTAGTGACATCTTTGCTTTTTAACACCTTAGTGAAATCTTTTGCAGATTTGCCTAATGTAAGATGTCACTGACTGCAGCTTCCAAGGACGGTCATTGTGAATCTAAGCCAAATGAAATCTTCGACAACGTCAATATTTTTTCTGTTTACCATGACATAACTTACTGGCCCCACTGTGAGTATTCTTTATGTTGAGATATAATCTATATTGAAGGCTACAGTCTCAGATTTTCACCAGTAAGTGTTTAAGTATTCTTTGCTTTCAACAAGAAAGACTATCATTTGCATATTATAGGTCATTAATGAGACATCTTCCAATTCTGCATTCTGCTCAATAAAACCCAGTATCTTAGATTATTTTCTCAGCATAAAGACTGAGAAAATGGTGAAACGATACAACCTTGATTCACGCTTTCTTGACTTGAAGTCACACATTATCCCCTTGTTCTGTTCAAGTGACTGTCATTTGGTTTCTATATAAATTCCACATGAGCATAATTAAGTGTTCTGGACTTCTCATTCGTCTCAGTGCTACCTTTGTTTCAGGTCCTCTTCTGAATCCCTATCAACAGACTACTGCAATTCTTTTTGAATCATCTTCAGCAAAGTTTTACTTGCATGTGGTATTAATGATACTGTTCAGTAGCTTCCACATTCCATTGGATCACTTTTCTTTGCAATGGGCACAAATACGGATCTTTGTCAGTCAGTTGGCCAAGTAACTGTCTTTCAAATTTCTTGGCATAGATGAGCAGGTGTTTCTAGTGTTGCATCAGTTTGTTGAAATATCTCAATTAATATGCCATCATTTTCTAGAGCCTTGAACACCAATTGAGAAGTTTGAACAAGTAGATGCAACGCGGCAACTCACTATAATACATGTTATGTACACTCATGAATTAAGAACTCACAAATGAAGTGAAAGAAAGCTAAAATTCAAGCTTTATATTGCTAATGAACAAAGATGTGTTTGCAACCCAGGATATATGCTTGTTTTGTTGTAGAGGTGACAGGCAGTTTAGGTGAGTGTTTCAGATAGAAATACTCAATTGTTGAAGGGAGGAGAGCTGAATGGAGCACTGGTGGCACACATGTTAAGCACTTAGCTGCAAACCGAAAGTTTTTACTCATGAGAGGAAAGGGCTGAAGATCTGCTTCCTTGAAGATTACAGCCTGAAAATGCCATGGAGCGGTTCTACTCTGTCACATAGGATTGCTATGAATTGGAATTGACAGGACAGCACCTAAGAGCAACAACAAACAAAACTGAAGATGGACGTGAAGGAGGACAAAACAATTGTGAAAAGTCCAGAGCAACTCCTTTGGTCACTCACTGCAAGTATAATGAAATTATATTTACTGATAAAATATATTTTACCAGAATACAGTTACTTAAGAGAAAACATTTATTTATGAAAATTTTATTACAAATATTTACTGAATTTATTTTACCTGGTGGGACATGGGAAAAGCTCCTTTACATTAAAAATGGTATGCACTCAAAGGGCATTCTTATTTATGTTTATTAATAAATGTCAAAATAAAAATTCAACACTGCACTTGAATGTAGAGTTCTCTTACACACCACTGAAGAAATGTGTGAGAGCTGGCTCTCTAGAGGTGCAGCATAAAAAGCCGAATAGTTCCTGCTGCATTCACTGCCCAGTGCCTTACATGGTACCTGGCACATGGCACTTGTTTAATAAATCCTGAACGATACAATAACGCTGCAACTACCTGAGAGAGAAAAAAAACTATTCCATAATAGTTATTGGCTCCCTCGAAGTTCAATTAATAATATAAGTGTCAAAATTTCCAAACTAAATCAAATCCATTCTCATTTTTGGTCAGTATTTAAATTAATGGTAGCAATACAATCCTGGTTGAAAGAAAAAAAAAAATCACAATATAATTTTACTCAATATCTACTCCACTTCAAGACTTACAAAGATAGTTAAAAATAGGAATAAAGTTATAAATACCTCTAGTTGTTTTTCTTTCTCTCTGAAGTTTTTGAGTTCACAATGATACTTATGCATTTCGGGAGGACCAATTGACTTCTCAGTAGCTTCAAGGAGTTCAATTTTGCTGAGTTTAGCAAATTCTCCAACTTTGTCCTACAGCACAAAAATGAAGTATCAGAATCTATTGCCATGTATTAAATATCTATTGCCACATATTAAGTATCTTCAAAACATATTTCAATTAATGATTACATCTGTCAAGTTTGAACTTGCTTAAATAAATCTTACATTGGTAAGTAAATCTTAATATATGTAAATCCTTGAACTTTCCTAGATTAATCTTTCAAATATCAGAGATAATCTTAGCTTGAGAATTATCATCTTTTTGATTTCTTTTAAAAGATTTTCTTACCAATACTCACATGTTGAGATGTTTACGTACATATCATGAATTTTTCTGGGGAAAGGAAAACTAGTTCCTTGGATTTAAATAATCATTAAAAAAACCTCAACCACACATAAATCAGAATGTTAGGGGGATGAGGGAAGGCAAATATGAAGCATCTACTTGTAGAAATGAACTGGAATCAGCTGATAAATGCGAAATGTCTTATAATTTTATTTAATTTGGATATACATAATCAAATTATCATTGAGTTTCTTGTGAAAAAGAAAATGAAACAAATGACAAATCAGTACCTAGAATATAATATGCATTATCAGTTTTTTATTGTTATTAAACTTAAAATACAACATTTTAAGATGGCATACCTATAGATTTAAGATAGTTTACGTAATCAAATGTTTTATACAAATATATTTATTAAAATTTACTAATGAAATCTTAACTGTTATGTGCTGTCAAGTCAGTTCCCACTCATAGTGACCAACACTGTGTAGGTTTCCAAGGCTGTAAATCTTTACAGAAGCAGAAAGTCTCATCTTTTTCCCACAGAAAGGCTTGTGGTTAGGTGTCCAGTGTCTATCCTACAGAGCATCACTACGTTCTGAATAAAACCTTAACCACACCCCCTTCTAAAACACTCACTGCCATCAAGTTGAGTTCTGACTCGGCAACCCTACAGTTTAGAGTAAAAGGACTCACTAGGATTCCAGAGACTGTAAAACTTTATGGATGCACACAGCCTCATGTTTCTCCCTCAGAGTAGCTGACAGATTTAAATCGCTAATTTAACGGGGATAGTAGCACACTATATAACTGCACCACCAAGACTTCTTTCAATAAAACCTTGCAAAGTAAGCCAACTTTCTGAACTTTACAACTTTATTTCTTTTCAAATGCTCTATAATTTAGCCTTTTCACTAACTGAAATTTGCCAAAATTAAAAAAATGATACTGCAGGTGATTAGATGCTACAGTTAACGAAGGTATGCTAGTATTAAGAATGCTATATTTGACTTAAACGGCAACCATTACAATATCCCTTTTTACGGGGATAGTTGTACTCTTATTAGTGAGGACAATATATACTAACTTTTCAAATGTACATTATTTCTCTCATACCTGAGGTAGAAACTGACAAAGATTGCTCACTTGAATATTTAAGTCTGCAACCTGCTCTTCTACTTCCCGCTGTGTTGTAGACTTTCTGTTGATGAGCCAAAAGGACTGATTTTTTGCCACATCAATCTCACGGGTAATGATAAGATTCCCAGAAGCCTTATACCTATTTAAAAAAAAATTAATATATTCAAAA